TTTTTTTTTTTTCCTGACCTTTTATTTGAAGCCCTCTGTGGAGTGTTCAGCACTCTGTATGCTTGGGGGCAGACAGAATCTCACTGTAAGGTGGGAGGGAGAACAGGGCTAGTGGAGACTTCCCACTGGCCCAACCACCACTGCTCTCCATGGAGCATTTTCCAGCCACGACTACAGTAACAGGAGGTGGTGGTGGTAGTTTTGGGAATTGCTGCTCCCCGTAGCCCTCCAGAATAATTTCTGCTTCCTTGAATACAGGAAGCCCGTTGTCTTCGTCCTCTAGTCCGTAGAGATGTTAACTCTTAGTAACACCTCTGGGAAGTCCTCTCACTTGTCTGTCTCAATTTCTTGCTGTGCAAGAGCAGTGTTCATAGTTGGTGAGGTGAGTGAACCGATGCTCCAAACTCTTTTGAAAAGGGACTTTTTCAGAGCAGCTCATTTTCATTTGTATGACCAAGTGCTTAATTGCAGGTTATCCCTCTTTGCAAGTTGCCTTTACTTTGGGTAGAAGTTCCAGGAACATAAGTAAATAGTATCTGCAGGCTTGTGTTGGAAGGGTCAAGGCCTCATGGAAAGCTGGTAGAGTTGCAGCTGGACTGAAGCTGTGCTGAAAATGGGCTCTTCCCAATTGGATTATGCTAATTCAGCAAAATCATGTTTTACTCTCAAGCAAGGGTGTCTTCAAGAAAGTTTTGATGTAAGTATAGCAGGTTAATTATTGTTAATTAGCTGTTCATGTAACTGTGCAGAAGAAATTTGCCCTAACTAATTTAGTCCCTTTTGAAAGTGATAATAGTGTCTTTAACTGCCTGGTAGTCAGAGAGTGTGATTAGTCACACAGCATTGTTTTTTCTTCTGGACTTTTCCTGGAGCTCTGGGAAGGGCACATTTGCAAATACTACATAAAAATCACAGCAATGTTTTCATCTATGCTGTTTGCACACAAAGGCAGTGGCTGCTTTAGAGAACTAAAATTATCAGTGTGATGTTTATGGATATTGACACTGGCCAGTCCTGCTGCTTTGCCAGGAAATGCCAAGCTGGCAGGGCCATGGCCACGGTTGAAACACACAGAAGATCAGGACTTAAAAGACTTGCAAGTAAAGCTTTGGAGTTGTTCCTCATCTCTGTGGCCAAACTGATTCTGACCTGGCAGAAAACTTAATCGCAATAGTTTTTCCTTCTTGGCTTCCAGATGTCAGTAAAAGAACAGTTGTGGGTGGTACTGGAGGGAGTCAGCCTCCCACCCCAGTGGTGTCTGGATGGACAAACAGCAACTCAGGAGAAATGTATGTTTTGGTGGTGTTGAGCTCTGTAGGCAGTAGCCTATAATAGATTGATACTATGCAAAAATCAGAATAATCCATCCCACCGTGCCCACCTTGACCCTGCACCTGTTGGGCTGGTTGGGGGTGCCATCAGCAAGCATCCAGCTCTGTGCTCCAGGGATTTCTACCTTCCAGTTCCCTTCGTGGTGAAGCTAATGGTGGGGAAAGTCTGCTGTGTGTGCTGGACCTGCCATTCACCATGTTTTGGTCAGCTGGAGCCATCTCATCCTCTGGAGGTTCAGCCAAATGAGGAATGAGTTGTCTTTTGAAGGAGATGAAGTTTTTTAGGCTGCTGAGTTGATTTTTGTGGCTGTGAGTGCTACCTTGGTAGTTGGTAATTTTCTTTGGCAATCTGTAGCTACTGTGGGATGGATAAGTACAATAGCTACTGATGGGATAGATAGATAAATGGATGGCTTGTTGCTGGAGCCATCTGACATTTTGTTGTCATTGTCTAAAGGCAACCCCCCAAAAAAACTGTTCTTCAGTTTTCACAGCCTGATTTCCCTTTCTCCAGCGAGCCTGCTCTGTGGAGTTTTTTGGGCTCAATTGGACTCTTTTATTGTTTCCTGCAGTACCATGTTCCTGTGCACACACTTACACACAAAGCAAATACAGAGAAGATGTTCACAGTATAGTGCATGAGGGGACCCATTATTAACTCTCATGTTATAAAAGAGTTACAGAAGGGAGTTTACAAGGCATTTTCAGTTCAGGTGAACTATTGCAATATAAGTTTAATTATGTACATCACTGACTTAAGCCTCAATGAAAGCTGGTTGCAGGCACAGGTAAAGTGATCCACCCACCTCAAGCATCTTGCAGGACTTCTGTGTGTAAAGCAACAGCTCAGATTTTCTTTACATCAAAAGGTTGAACCATTCTGACCAATTCTTTTTAAGCAATCGCTTGTCATAGATACCCATTGATTTAATCAAGGTCTGGGTTTGTTTTTTTCATTAGCTTAAGGTAACTAAGAAGATTTATGCAAACTTTTCATTATCCTTACACCAGCTGAGGCCACCAACAGCATCCCATGTAACCTGCAGACAGGGCCTATATCCTGCACCGTCCATACAAGCACTGCTGCCTGTGATGGGAAGGAAAGGCAGGTGGTCAACTTAAAGAGGCCAAGATTTGTTTCCCAGTCAAGGATTTTGTCCCACACTACAAGGGAGATCCCAGGCAGATTAAAAGTCACTGCTAGGATGTTTTATGTAGATGCCGTTCTACTATAGAGACAAGTTAAATGCTCACAACCTGTCTCCTTTAATTCTAGTTTAAAAAGCTTTCTCTCTCTTATTTCTTTGAGGAATAATAACAGACCTGTTAAGCTGGAGAGAGAAGACCTCTCCCTCATTTAGAAAGGGGTGTCAGAGAGAAAGAGAGAGAGCACGTTGCCTTTTAGGAGAGATATTCGGTCATTCTTCTCTGCAGAAGTCTGGCAGGGAACATTGCAAAGTTCCTTTCTGAATCAGAAGAGCATGTAAAGACTTCTTGTTTTATTCACTACATTGATCTTATTTCCCATATTACTCATAATATTACAATAAGCAAGTCACTTCACTCTATACCAGAGACATTTATCTGCTGATTTTCAAGTAATCATAAATTGAGTGTGTCTGTATGAGCCAGCCAAAATAATCTGGGTTAGATCGTGGATGTATGTCTGGGCTTGTGGGTGGAGGGGGGAAAGAGGGACTGTTGTGGCAGCAGTCATGTGTAAGGCCTCGGAAACATCTTCAAAGGAGCAAAAGAGAGAAGAGGATAATGGTTCTTATTTCTGTCTGCATCTGTATTTCTCCACAGCAAGTCAGACCCTTCACCTGCCACTTTTAGTTTCCTTTTTCCTTCAGTGAAGGTGGCTGAGCTTTTCTGATAGTGCATCTCTTTGCTGTTGTGTGCCTGCATTTTGAGTCTCTCCGTGAACAGTGGAGTTTGCCTTCCAGCCAGTCCTCTGTTCCCAGCCAGCACTGAAAGGAGCTGTTTTATCATGGGCCTGGGAAAGTCTAACGTGGACACTGGCATTCCCAAGGCAATTTCTGCTGCTCCTGGCACAGTTCCTGCAATGCCATCTCCTTGCAGTGGGAGCAGCCCTGTGCATCTGGATCTGGCCCCGAGTCAGGCCAGAGCTTACCAAGTCTTCAGCACCTTAAGAGAGCCTACAAGAAAGGAGGAGAGAGATTTTTACAAGGACATGTGGTGACAGGAAAAGGAGGAATGTCTTCAGACTGACAGAGAGCAGGTTTAGATTGGATATCACAAAAGAATTCCTCCCTGTGAGGATGGTGAGACCCTGGCACGGAGTTCCCAGAGAAGCTGTGGCTGCCCCATCCCTGGAAACATTCAAAGCCAGGTTGGATGGGACTTGGAGTAATCTGCTCTAATGGAAGGTCTCTCTGCCCATGGCAGCAGGTGGAACAGGATGATCTTTAGGTCCTTTCCAGCCCAGGACATCCTGTGATTCTATGATAAGCTCTTCTTCCACCAGCAGGAATCCCCTGTAGACCTTATACCAGATACCAACCACCTTTAGCTCTTCTTCACAAGGCACAACAGCCCCACACCCTCATACATATGGGATGGGCAGCTCTGGTCCTTGTCCTGCTTTCCAGAGTTCTAAAGCTGATTGCTGCTGCCGTGCACAGACTCCAGTGCAATGGAAGCTGTTAATTCTCTGTACTGAGCCATAGAGATAAAAATTATAATGTTAAATGCTTCAAGTATATTTAATATGTGAGTGTATTAAAAGCTATAGTTTACATACTTGAAGTACTTAAAAATACTGGCCTAAGTTTTTGAAATTACTGATTTCAGATGTGCAGCTGTTGAAGTCACTGAGCTGGAACAAATCAAAAGGAACTGTTTTTCAAAGATGTTACCAATTTTCTAGGCAGTAATTTCCTTTTAGGCATCTGGGATGGGTAGAGTATCAGAAGTCATCTATGACTTTTAAAAGGTCCTGAAGTGTCTAGACAGAAATGCTAGGATAATTGTGGAGGTGATGCCCTTCTCCAATCTTGCTGGACACTAATGACTCTTCCTGTCCTCTTTCAGTATCCACAATGGAGTGATAGCAGTGTTCCAGCGTAAGGGTCTCCCAGACCACGAGCTGTACAACCTCAATGAAGGAGTCAGGTAAGTGAGTGTTCTCAGCCAGCTGCTCGGGTCTGTGTGCCAGCCCTCACACCTCCACACCTTCTGCAGAGCCCTAGTTTTTCTCCTAGTGGCAGTTCTGACCAGCACAGCCCATTTTGCCTCAGGAATCACTGCTGTGTGTCAGCACCTCTCTGTGGGAGACAGCTGAGCCCTCCTTCTACAGGAGGAATTCAGCCCTGAGCAGGAGGGCTTATTTCAGAATCCCTCTTGATGTGCTGGTGTAAAACTAGGGAAGGGAAAAAACCTGGACCTCTCTAGTGATGCAGCCCTACTCCACGGCAGAGCTAATGCCATTTCCAGAGGTGCCACTCTTAGGTGTAGCAGGTACATTCTTCTCTCTCTCAGGATTTTTCATAGAGGTGCACAGAGAGAAGAAAGAGAAAACAATTTATATTTCTGCTCTTTGTTTTTCCTATGTGGAATGTGTTTGGAGAATTGTTTACCTGGGGTGAGTGCTTGGTTGGATTCAGGTGAGGATTGTTTGAGCCTGGTGGCCAATCCAACCCACCTGGGGCTGGACTCTCAGAGAGGGCCAGGAGTTGTGAGTTAGATATGGTAGTTAGAAAAAGTAGGTTTGTAGTTTTAGTATCTCCTTTAAATAGTATATGAATGTATTATAGTATAGTTATAATAAAGAAATCATTCAGCCTTCTAAACCAGAGTCAGACATCAGCATTTCTTCCCACCACGTTCACCTGCATTTGCAATACTCAGGTGCTTCCCTTGCATCCACTGGAGGAGGTAAAGCCTGCAAGCACTCAGTGAGACATGGCAAGGAAGGATGTCCTGCCTGCTGGTCCTTTAGATCTACTGCTCCTTCCACACAGCATGAACCTGTGTGAAGTGACAAAGCTGTCCTGTTAAACACCACGGCCTGGGTAACACTGTTCATGTTAACAACTTTTTTCCCCATATTCTGATGATACTGTCTGCAACAGACTAACTGTAGGCCAGTGAGATGTGTGATGGGAACTTTCTTCCCTTTAAAAAAAAGTGAAAATCCTACCGTTTGAGTTATTTAAGTTACAGTTGAAAAGAAAACTTACCAAGATACAAGCTGATACCTGGATTTACAGCACTTCATGTTTTACTACTTTTCCAGCACTTTTTATTACTTACCAAACCCTGTCACTGGCAAGGGCAAGGTAGCAGATTTCCTTACAGAAATTTGTCCAATGTTTTATAAAATAAATGGTGGAAAAGAATCTGCACTTACAAAAGACAGACACCTTATTACATTCCCTAGCTATCTTCAGATATGATCCTTGGTTATTCCCTTTCCCTTACTGCTTATTGCTACTCTGCCTGGGCACTGGAGTCAGACTCTCCAGCATATTCCCCAGAATATGTAGATATTCTGGGTTTATCTGTCCCTGTCTGAGTCCCAGTCTTGAACAGTTGGCCCAGTCTGGTTCCTCTAATTGTGAAAATATATTCAGAAAAGTCTAGGCAGATGATATTGGACCTGTGTTTGCTCTTGGAGTTAAAATAAACTTACTCTTCAGCTATTTCTTATATTGCAGGTGAGAAAATGACATGCTTTTCTAGGATGTCTGTCAGTTAGCATGATCCATCAATCATGTTGAATTACTTAATGGAATAATGGTTAATCAGTGTCGTTGTGCCTTTAGGACTTTTCAGCTTTATCTGAATGACAAAAAAAGGTACTTCTGGACTGAGGTTTCTTGGCCCAGTGCATTTCCCTTACTATGTTCATCTGCTGGTGAGGGACAGAAGAGAAGAAATTTGCTGCTGATGTGTCAGACAAATATAATCTGGTATGAACCAACAATTAGATAGAAATGTACCCAAATTTTGCTTTAATTTACTTGGCTGTAAACTCTGCACCATGATGATGCTTGGTAATAGAGTTGAGTTGAATTCATTGCAGCATCTCATGTGGCTGAGCATGCAAGGTGACTAGAATTACACTGATTTTTTTTTTCCCAGTTTATGGAGGGCTTTGCAGCCACTTGATAGGCCCATTTCTTTTTGTTTGGGTAGGGATAATGCTGCTTTGTTGGTATCTCAGCTGATAGCTCACTTCAGGGAGAATGCTTGGTGCCTCATACCTGAGCTGATGATGAAATTGCCAATTTGACACGTGCCAAAAATACCTGTCTTATTGCTTTTGTTATTTATTTCAAAATAACATTTATTAAGTTAACGTAATTATTAACTATAAAAATACCTGATTCATAAACATGACTCAGAAGGGGAACAAGTGTATACTTGCCTTATGATTGTTTTAGATGCATTTTCCCACGAGTACAAAATGAGATGCAAGTCCGTTACTTCCACTGGGCAGAATTCAAGAGTGGAAGCGTTCAGGTAAATGGTTAAAATTAGTTAGTTACTTTTTTGATTAGTTACAGGACATTAAAAAAAGTTTTTTTACTTTACTACTTTAATTGGAGCAGAATCTGGAATACTTTTTATAATAAACCCCTGAATATCCGAGTTGACTGACAGATCAAGTGTAAATATTTGAACAATATTTGCACACCGTTGTTTTGACTTGGGAATGTCACGTATATTCAGCTACCATGTGTCACATACATGCAAAAAAACCCCATAAATCTTCTTCTGAACACACATCTCGAGGTTTTGAACTCTGATTTTTTAAGGAAACTTTGGTGGGTACAAATCTGTACAGCACCATCTACTTTTCTTTTAAGTTTGGTTCATAAGAGCTGCCACTTGTTTACACCGATGCCTTTTGACACCATTCTTGCATTCCTGTGGCATTCCAAAGTGGCCTTAGCTACAGAATCATATGCCCAGCCCTCAGAATCCCTGTTGCAATAAAAGCAGTGTGGGAGTCGAGTCCCTCTCCCACTGCTGGAACTCCTGAATTCCTCTGCTGAAGCTGCTGAAGCACAGTGAAGTCCCAGCAACTGGAGTGTCACCAGTGTGTGACCTGTGCATTCCTCCTTCTGGGCCCTCACTGAGTGATTTATTAGGAGATTGAGTCCAAAGTCCAGTAATAAAAATCTCCCTGCATATATGGACTGTTTGGTTTTCTCATGGTCCATGTCTGCAATATTAATAAACAAATAGTGTTTTCTCTTTTAATTTCGTGTACCATGTGTCATTTCAAAGTGTTTATTTTGACCACTTTTCAAACAAAGAAGAAAAAGAAGCAAAGGGAAACACAGTGGAAGCTGGATGTCCTGTATTAAAGCTAATGCATATTTATAGCTGCCTCTTTTCTGAGTTTCAGGATACTGATGTGATGCAAACAAAGCACATTTTTAGTGGCATTTCCTCTTTTGCAGCCAGAGTTCAAACCCAGTAAAATCACTTGTTTGCTTCATTTAACTTTATTTAACATCTATTATGCAGTGTTACACTTTCCATTCTGACTAATGCTGCAAGAGTTAATTTTAAAATGAACCAAGGAAGCAGTATCAGGGAAAAGAAAAACTCAGGAGCTATTTTAGCACATTCTAAGGGAATTTATATTTTCATCTTAATTTATTAAGCTGCTAAACAGGCAATGAAGACCTGATATCAGTGATACAGAAGCTTTATGAGTGCAAAATGCCTGCTTGTAAAACCAGGTGTACTTGAAATAAGATCTGCTCTCTGGTCAGGGATCTCTTTTAGGTTTAGTCAGATTTTTACCTGGATTCCACTGTGATGTCCACATGTCTCTAGATAAGGTTGGTCAGTACTTGAAATTATCTAGGATCTGACAGCCTAACTGGTTTTTGTTGAGGGATATTAAGCAAGCATGAAAAAGAAATTGCAAGCAATGTCTTGGATCCACTTTTTGTGGATCTCTTTTAAATTAATATATACAAATAATATCAAGCACCAGTGTTCTGATCTGGCCTGAGGGCCTCACTGTTTCACTAGAAATTAATTTAATAGCTTGAAGTATCTGTATTATTAGGGATTCAAAAAGCAAGCTGCATGAATTGTGATGTCAGTTCTTCTGCCCTGTAAACAGAGATGTTAATGTAGGCCTGGTGTGGTGCAGTCCAGTGCACATAACTACCTACAAGCTGTAGAACCTAAATACTAAAAGAGAAGGTAGTTGCACATCACCTCGTCCAGACTGTGAGGAATCCATCTGGAGCTGCTAGCCTGAGGAGAGGGTAGAAAATTAAGCATAAAGTACCAGGATTTTCTTGAAACGGTGGCACAAAGAGATACATGAGAATAAATTGTCACTGTCATAGGAAAATTCAAATCTGCAGCTTTCTTCTTAGTTCAGCCTAAAAATGGTCTGTCTCTCCATGTTCAAAGTATGATGAGCCTTTGGTGTCATCACTTGTGATCTAGAAAAAAGTCACCTCACTGGAAGTAAATCTCCACTTGGAGTGAACACACTGCAATTTGCTGTCACAACCTTGTTCTCCTTGACTTCTCTCAAGGCACTGGAACTTGAGCAGCCTTTGAGTGAGGTGGGTTTTAGCCCCTGTCCAGGGCTTTCAGTATTACTGTTGAGGGAAAGTCTCTGTAGACTTTAATGGAATATAGGGATATGCTGGGTTTGGTTTGGTGTCTCATTGTTTGCTAGTTAAATAATTTGATTTATCAGTTGTCAGTTAAAGATATAACACAAAGGGATGGATGACATGCTATTGAATATATCATTCACATAATTACCCTAATTGAAGTGAGTGTTTAGATTTTAAGTCACATTTGACATCACTTCTTCACTGGACCTGACATGGTCACACAGACAGGCTTTCAAGAGATTCAGATGTGTTCAGAAAACCCAGCTGGGGCTGCATTTCTGTGAGGTCTGAGCTGTTGTTTATGCATCTGAATAGTGACCTGACTGAAGAGAAGAGTTATCTAGCACCCAGCATCCAGTGTGAGATTTAAATAACACACCTTTTTAGCCATGTGGCGAATTTTACCTGGATTCAAACAAGCTTATGGACCGAGCTGAATTCAGTTTCTGAATTGGAGAGTTTGTGAGAGTTTTGTTTTGTGTGGGAGTTTTCATGAGAGTTGCTCTCTGAGGTTGCTTTGTGGGTGTTAGTGTAGAGGGATCATGAAAGGCAGAGCTACACTGTTAAATTCATCCCTGTCTTTTCCTTGAAACCACATGAAACTTCAGCTGTCTACTCTCCTGAGTGGATGTAGGATGGAAAGCATCCTCTTTTCATGGGATCTTATTTTCCTTTCAAATGTGCAATTGAGGAATCTAAAATGCTAGCAATTATTTTTCAGCACAGAAAAATGCTGGTTTGAGTCTTGGTATTATTGACCCTCTTTGCTCTCTTTGTAGTTAGTCATTAGTGGCAGTCTCTGTGCTCATACTAAAGCAATTTGCTATTAGTGACTTCCCCTCATTCATGCAGTGCACAGCTAATGTGATTTGCTGATTACAGAGATTCTTTTCTTGTTCTTTTTAATACAGGCAGTTATTGAAAACAGAACTGGGATCATTTTTCACTGAGTATCTGCAGGTAGGCCTGTGTTTTCTTTATTTAAATCCAATTCTGTTTTATGCTACCGAGAAAAATAATTTTGCCCACTCTAAATGATGATCTGGAGACCCTTGAAGCCATTCAGAGATGTCCACTGACTTCTCTGTGGTTTTGAAATTAAAGGATTAATGAGATTGGGATTTTATATACATACATATAGTTAGACAGGGAAAGCCCAACCTGGCACAGTGTTTCTGTAGGTCACTGCTGGCTGTCTTGAGGTTTCAGACATTGGTTTTTAGCTTAAAATTGAAGTCCTTGAGTAAACTAGTGAAGTTCATTGCAGTATAGTTGCTAGGAAAAACTTTTGGAAGTAAGTATCACTTCTGTTGAAGTAATCTTCTTTCTGCTTCTCTAAGCACATGTTTTGTAGGTCAGTCATTTGAAGTTCAAGAAACACTTCATATTGCACAAAATACATCTTTTGTCCTAAAAACAGCAGGTGACTATAGCATCATTTCACAAGTGTCCCAAGTGAGTTAAATAAAATGGACACAGCAAGAGTTCTTTGATGATGAATTTTTAAAATAAAAGACCCCCTTCACTGTCTAAAGATTGAACAAAATGTGAAATAGCATGACTATATGTAGGGAGGTACAGAGCTGAGTAAATGTAGTCTATATTTTATTTACAGAATCAGCTGCTCACGAAAGGCATGGTGATCCTAAGGGACAAGATCCGGTTTTATGAAGGTAACTTGGAGTTTAGCATGGCTATGTATGTCACGGGTGTTTTAGCAAATGCACTCTGGTGGCACTGGCATGCTTTCCACTATCTTCCTGGGACTGTGGATTAGCATGTCTCAATCCATTCCTGCAGTCTGTTGTTGGGTGCTGCCTTTGTGCTCTCATTAACCTTCACAAAGGGGAGGTGATTGCCTAGGGCAACACTGAGGGAGTCAGGGAAGGATTGCCTCCAGCAAGGACACTTCCTCCTCCTTCAGTTACATCCTGCTCAGGAAGAGTGAAAACAGACTGAGATATGTAATAAACAAAAAACTAAGCATGAAGATCCCAGTTAGTTTAAGTATCCAAGTCCAAAATAACGCTGTAGCCTTGTTTTAAGAGTTAGTCTGGAGTCACGCTGACATAAATGAGGTCAGGCACTGTCTGTCTTGTTTTAAAAGCAAGGCTTCATTCAACTGTCTACACCTTCTGGAGGTGCCACCTCTGGAAGTAATATCAAGGATAAACTTCCACCCAGTGTGTTGCTTTATAATCACCAATATTTTGTCTTATGCTATTATGTGGCATTTAGATGTGTTGTTAAATATGCTGTCTTGTCCTAGATTAGGCATGCAAGTTGTGCCAGGGGAGGTCTAGATTGCAGTTTAGGGAAAAATTCCTTCACCAAAGGAGTTGTTCAGGCATTGGAATGGCTGCCCAGCACAGTGGTGGAGTCATTAACCCTGGAGATATTTAAAAGTCGTGTAGGCGTGGCACCTGGGGACATGGCTTAGAGGTGGCCTTGGTACCTCTGAGGCTGGATTTGATATCTTGGAGGTCTTTTCCAACCTAATCTGTGATTCTGTACTTCAGATGGTTAAATGGTTTCATAATAGCTTCAAGAATTATTGCCCATGTAAATATTCTAAAGATCTTTGGGTAGTGAAGGCAGTTTCAAAGAAATGCATCTTCCCTTTTATAATGTCACTTAGTCTAAATATACTGCTTAAGCAGAAGCTTGGAGATAGCTGTTTGTCAGCTGTCTGTAAATCCTGGATGTGACCTTTCATTACTGCCAGTACAGTTGGTCAGATTAAGATGGTGTTAGGGAATCAAGCTTTTCTGATAAAAAGACAGTAGTCCTGAACCTCACAAAAAGAGAACCAATATCACATTAAAACCCCCAAAGCCCACAAAAGAAGTACCCAAAGTCCTTAAGCTGAACACCAAATTCCACAGTTATATAAAATAACAGCTTGGAGAGTACAAGGGGAGCTATAGGGATTGCAAGGCCTTCATAGCTGCTTTGTAAATCACAAAGGAAGTTGTTTTATAAGTGAATCGGCAAATGAGATACAAACCTACCTACATCCAATCCTTTTTTTTTTTCCTAATATTACCAGCTTGAAAATCAAAAATACTGTATGTGGTGTTTGAGAGCAAAGCTTAGATGAAAACCTAAAATGTGAGACCACTAAAGGGCTTTCAAATATAGGACCGTGTTTAGGAAATACCAAATTTCAACAAGCTGCTGATTTTAAACTCATTTTGGTTTTTGATTTAGTATATCATTTTGTGGTTACCCCTTAAGGTATGGTCAGAAATTCTGGTAAGGTGAGAATTAAACTGGTCATGTTTTTTCCAAGTCTGTTATCAAAAATGTTATCTCTGTTATCTGTGACTGGCAAGTCACAGGAGGGTAGCAGTAATTCAGGCATCTGTTTCAGAGGTGGAACACAGCTTTCCTGGGGAGCTGCTGGTGGATTTGAGTTTCCAAGGCTGGTATTTGTGTTTCTTGGCAGCAGATGCAGCCCTGCTCCAGAGTCCATCCTGTTGTCAGGGTCCCTGTGGATCTCAAAACACCCAGGCCAGAGCTGGGAGCATGGAAGTCCTGAGGCTCCCATTCTGAGCAGGGCTTGCTTCCTGGCTCTGCAGAAGCAGCAGTCCTGCCCTCAAATCTCAGGTTGTCCTCTTCCCATGGTTTGAGGCTTGGTGTTGAAGTTTTAACAAGAGAAAAAAAACACACTTTGGAGGGGTTTTGTTCTGCAGAATGTTTTGGAAATCACAGAATCTCAGCATAGTTTGGGTTGGAAGGGACCGTAAAGATCCTCCTGATCCACCCACCTGCCATGGGCAGGCACACTTTCCACTAGACCAGGTTGCTCCAAGGCCTGTCCAACCCATCCTTGGACGCTTCCAAGGGTGGGGCAGCCACAGCTTCTCTGGGGCAGGGCCTCACCACCCTCAAAGGGAAGACTTTCTTCCTAATTCTAATTATTTATTCTTATCTTTCTTTCATGAGTTTCAATTAACCTTTGGAAGCCCTGTGAAAAGCACCAAATGCATTTTTATGCCATACAAAATTGACTATATTGTGCTTCATAAAAATGAGCATTTAGAGTAACCCAGTTTCCTGGAATCCAGCAAATGCTTGCACTAAGTGTAGAGCTCTTTGCCTGACAGTAAGAAAAGGATCTATCCTTGATCTGTCCTTGATAGCACATGTAAGTTGCATTCCTTCCTGTGAAAGATGCTTATCATCAAGAAATCATAGGAATTCTTCCACAGACCCCAATAAAAAGCCTTCTCACCTAAGTCATTCAACTCTGCAGCCTTTCAGAGTTGCTATGCAGAAATTCATTATGTCTCAAAACAAGGTGCCCACAAGATGGAATAAGTACATTATGGTAAAGGCAAGTTTACCTCAACAGAGCAATTTACTTCATACCATTCTAGCAGCAAGATTTGTAAAGGACCAGATTTATAAGGGCTTTTGACTTCACCTTGTGGGAACTAGAACTAAATTTATCTTAAAAAAATTTAACTCTTTAAAATTCTGCCTTCAGGATGTAGTAGTTTGGCTTCTCCTTCACGATCCAATTTGTATCTTGGAAGCACTTTGGTATTTCAGACACTAATGCTGGATGTTGAAATGCAAGGTTGTTTTTGTGATTTAACCCCAGCCAGCAGCTCCTCCCCGTGGAGCCACTCACTCACTTTCCCCTGTGGAATGGTGCAGAGAGTTGTAAGGGTGAAAGTGTGTTGAAATAATGACAAGTTAATAGGTTAAGCAAAAATTATGCATACGAGCAGAGCAAAATAGCATTCATTCCTCACTTCCCATGGGCACGCAGGTGTTCAGCCATCCCAGGAAAGTCAGGCTCCATGATACATCATGGTGACTTGAGAGACAAAGGCAGTCACTCCAAATGTCCCTCCATCTCCCCTCAGCTCTGTCCACTGACCATGGCACCTTGTGGTCCGGGATGTCCCTGTGGCCAGCTGGGAAAAGCTGTCCCAGCCATGTCCCCTCCCCATTCCTTGTGTCCCCCCAAGCCCTCGCTGCTGGGGTGGGAGAGGGGCAGAGAAGTTCTTGGCTCTGTGCACACCCTGCTCAGCAATAACTAAAACATCCCTGTGTTACCAGCACTGTTCCAGCCCCTACCAGCTGCTGGGAAGGAACTTACCCCAGCCAAAACCAGCACATGTTTATTATTACTATTACTACTGCTGCTATCATTGTTTTTATTATTACTACTACTACTACTGTTACAGCTGCTAGAAATTTTTGGAGCTCATTCCCTGCTGTATTCCATTAGAACTAATGAAAAACAGATTTTTAAAAAATGTTTTAAAAATGGAAAAGGACAACACCCTTTTCAGTCTGGTGCATGAGTGTGCAGGACAGAGAGAGCTCCCGCCTGAAGGGGCTGAAAAGAAGACCTTGGTGTGTTCCACAAGCCAGCAGCTGCAGTACAGCATGATGCTCCACATCTGTCACTGAAAGCACTTAAAGTCATCAACATGGAAACAATTCAGGAGTTGAATGCTTCCACATTTTACCTGCTCTGTGCTCCCCCTCTCCTCTACAGTCCTGTCCAGCAAGTATTACTGCAAGAGGAAGACATAACCTGGTCCATTACTCTTCATTCCTCACAGGGTTTTCCTGAGTGACCTCAGACTCTGACTTTATTAAGAACTTTAGATGAGTCACCTGAAAAGACACAAATTTTGAATTATCTGATACGCCCCTATGGAAAACTATTTCCATACTACTAATAGTAGCTGCTGCATGATTCATCTTGGCACATAGTAGCAGGCTCACATTGTTTCCTGCACATTTTACTTTTTTCAGCTAGCTGAGTACAACCAGAACTCTTCACTAGTTTGTTTTGTGTTTTTGCAGGGCAGAAGCTACTGGATACCTTAGCTGAAACCTGGGATTTTTTCTTCAGTGATGTCCTGCCCATGCTGCAGGCAATTTTCTATCCTGTGCAGGTGAAAAAATTACTCTATTATCATAGAATCTTGAAAAACTAGAAAAAGCAACTTTACAGGTTCATCAGCAGATTGATGCAATCCTTAAGTCTCTCAATTTGGGCCAACCCAGTGCAGCTGTTCTGTTTAGTCATGTCATAAAAATAAGTTACTTATGCAAATGGTTTGAAGTGCTCAGGTGGAAAAGATGAAGGAGAACTTTGAAAACAAAAGTGGAGTGCAGGGAGGCTGGTTAGCCCATCTGCCAATCACACTAAAAAAAAAAGGCTATGAATGATAAACTGAAGTGTTGCACAGTGAAATAAATGGAGTTGTGTTGATTTAAATATATGCATTTCCTCCTCTGCAATGTGAATCTTGTCTTTGAAGTATCTCTGCTTTTGAAATGGAATTGTATTTCTGAGATCAAATTCTGTGCTATGGTAAGTGGACAGCAAAAGTAAATGGAGTTTGATGAACACAGATTTTGACTCCAGTATTTTTAAATTCACAATAGGTACTTGATCTTCTAATGTAGTGATAGCCAGAGAGTATTGTTTATCACTGTAGTCTCAAGGAAATCTGTACCAAACAGGTGCAAGTGATCTTTGCAGTTGATCACAGATGCCTACATATCGTAGTGGGAACTGGGTGCCTGAATATATCTGGGGAAACTTCAGAAACCTTCTCCCATTTTTTCAAGTGGCCTTTATGCCTAAAATGACTGCCCAAATGTCAACAATATTGCTATTTGCATCTTCAGACAGTTAAAGGTATGAAGTCTGAATTTAGACTGTGTTGTATTTCTGAGGCTTTTGAAAATATTTTAGTAACATGTTATCCCCTGTCAGATGAAAATAATTACTTGAATTTCCAAAAGAACCTTGAGGATTTAAGAATCCTAAGACCCATGTAAATTCAAATAGATCTCACTGCTCATGTTCTGAGGTTTCTTCCAAAAGCCTAATTGGTACTTCTGTGCTCTTGTAAATTCTATTTATTAGCAACTGAAGCAGATTTGTGGCCTTCTTTACTTCAGTTTAAATAATTTAGGAAGTGAAAAGGGATGGGTTGGGTCAGGCTTATTTATTCCAGAAATAAGTCCACACCAGTTGAATATCAAACCTCCCATATTACAGCCAGGTATACCCAAGGGAACCCCTCATGCCAGAAAGAGGAAGAGTTTCACAGCTCTGCCCGAGGCGGGGCTGTTATTCTCTGCAGCCAGAGCTGGAGTTGTGTTCTTCAGCTGGGACTCTTCCCCAGTGAGAAGGTATTGCTGAACCCAAGACAGATGGCTTTGAAAATGCAATATGAAATTTCAGCTCTGCTCCTGCTTTATGGTAAAGGCTCTCAAGCTGTACAGAGAGGATCCACAGGTGCACTGAGTCAGGATTCCTGCCAAATTTGGAGAAAGTAAACAGGGAGTACTCCAAATCTTACAAAATAATGGAAATTCAACCAATTTGCAGCCCTGCTTTTTTTTTTTTTTTTAACTCATGATAATTTAATCTGTGATGAACTGTTAAAATACAAAATATTCATATCTCACCCAGCTCTCATCCCACCCCAACCCTTCATCCTCTTCCCATGCAGTCAAATGCAGTCACCATCTGTAGAGTTCATTACTGCCAAATCAAATTTACTGTGCAGGCTTGGGGGCTGCTCTCTGTCCTTTGTTATGTTTTTTTTGTGTTTCATTTAGCTTTACCATTCTTGTAATCCCTCAGGAGTGGAGGAAGGAATTTGAACAGAGGATTTTGAAATTCATTTTCACACTGATTATAATCTGTCTTGCTTCCTTTGTGTTTCCAAGGGAAAGGAGCCCTCAGTTCGGCAATTGGCTCTTCTGCATTTTAGGAATATAATTACCCTCAATATCAAACTGGAAGATGCATTATCCCGTTCCAGAGCCAGAGTTCCACCCTCTATTATTCAGATGCTGTTAATACTTCAGGTAAATTGGTTACTTTTCTCAGCCTGTCTTTCTGAACTGTATTGCTTAAGTCTTCTTAAACTGTCTCTGATTTTGCTCATTCATTGAAAACCTCTTACCCAGAATGCCAGAGCTTCTGTGCTCCTGTAGTCATAATATCTGAATCCTAATATTCTAATATCCAAATGTCTAGTGTCTAAACATCTTATTAACCTAATAGCTAATTTATTCAATAGCTTAATAAGAATAATAATAATAGACTTTATATTAATATGTCATCTATTATAGAATATCTAATAACAGAATATAATAATAAATAATGCAACATATAATGGTGTAATAAAATAATAAAATAATTGTAATAATTGAATTACCTAATGTCTTAAAGTAGGGACTGTAGAGATGCTGTAAGATTCAGAGAGTGTAAGGGCACAGACTTACTTTGCTTCTAGGCCTTGAAACATGAAGTTTTGCAAGCTGGCAGGTATGTGGTGATGATTTCCATTAGTTGCTGTGTGTTGCTGCATTAGCAGTTCAGGATATGAAGCTTCACAGCAGGAATAGGCATCAAAGTGAATATACAACTAATACAACAGTGGTTGAATCATGGTCATATTTGGTCACTGGAACCAAATTCTATCAAAATTGGTGACATTAGGACCAGATGAAAACACATTAGGACCAGATACTGGTATTTTAATTCAGTGTTAGATTTTTTTTCTCTCTGTGTGTGTAGTAGTAGGAGAAACAAAATGAGAAAATCCAGGCAAATGGCTATTTTAAGATATTTTTATTTGCTTAATTAAAGCATGAGGTATGATGTGGACAAAAGGAATGAGGCAGAAGGGAAGAGAGAACCATGGGTGAATTTTTAAAGGGTGAGGGAATTGAGATTTTTGTGTCTTCTGATTTTTTTATAAATGTTTCTTTGCTCTTCATCACAGTATGAATTAACTCTATCTGAAATTGTTTTGAAGAGCAGGATAATCTAGTGAGGCAAAATTTGAAAATGGAGGAAAGGAGTAAGATTGTGTCTGCTGGGTCAAGAAATGGGATTTCACCTCTCAGTGGAATCAGTGATATCTCAGCTATCTCAGTGTCCATTTGTTGGTGTGTTTAATGGTGAGTTCAGCCTGATTGCCTCAGAAGAAAATGCTTTTCATATAGGAATGTCTACTTGGTCTTGTCTCCCTTCTCATAGCCCCCTCCTTCCAGAAGCTTCTTGAAACTGCTGGCTGGCTGTGCCACAGTGGCAGCAGTATGGAAGTCTCATGGGAGAGGAGAGGAGCCTCAGGGGAAGGCTGGAGCGTGGACTTAAATGTGTCCTGAAGCACCGAGGGATTGGCAGTGGCTGAGTCACGAGCCAGCTGTGTTAGCAGCCACCAGAGACTCCACAGCAGACAGAGCCATTGCAAAAACCTTCTCCACAGGGATGTTGTTCAGCCTCAGCCTTCTGAGGCGTGAGGTGGACTGCCCCTTCTAAATCAGGCTTCAGCAGCATTGCTGCTGGCAGGGCTGCAAGCTTTTTGTGATTCCTTTAGGGAGTCTGTGCTGGCTGTGGGCAGGATCTGACTTGGAATGGATTTGGTGGTGAGCTGGCAACCAAGTACCATCCTGATTTTTTCTTTGCAAATCTGCTTTCTTCAGCAACCCGAAGTCTTAACACCGTGGATGCCTGTTTAGGGCAAAGGATCAAATCCATTCTTGTTGCGATGTTGTTCATGGAAATCAATAACCAAGTGAGAGGGAATTTGCCCTTGGGTGTTTATTTCTGCATACTTTGCCTACAGTTGTGTGGTGGGGATGGTAAAAATCTTTTCTTGGCAATAGCTCTGCTAATCTTGTGGTTTAAAACCTAATGGGAATTGTGGGAAAAGGTCAGAAGAAAATCTGGGAATTAGCTATTTACGTTCTTAGCGGTGTTAGTCAGTAGTTGGAATTCAGAGCAAAGATTTTTTTCTGAATTCAAATGTCATGTTAAGCAAAAGCAAATTTTATCCATTAGTGGCGTAATGAAATTTTCTCAATTTAGTTGAACTTCATTCATTAACAGGGCTGGAAGAGAGCAATTCAGCTGTCCAATGAGCACATGGTGGTCTTGCAGGTTTTGATTTCCTGGACTGAGAGATGGTGTCTTGATGGGGATGTTGTCTAATCCTGATTTGTGACCACTGTGAATACCTTGTCCATAAGAAACTTGGTAACTGGAGCAGACTCCCATGGATAGATGGTGCCAGCAATGGCATCTGGACCAAGTGTTGAACTTAGTGCTGAGATTTCCTGTTTCTGTCCTTGACAGCCTCATGCAGCTCTGTGATGTATTAAGGAATAGCTCATGTTCTTTAAGACAACAGCTGTAATGTCAGAGGTTGAAATGCACCAGTCTGTTAGACTGGATTAAAGTGGCAGAGCTTTGGGAACTAATGCAGGGTGCATCTGGTATTATGTTTTAGCTTCTCAGGATGGAGGGGAAAAGCTCTGCTACTTTGTCAGGAGAAGACACTTTCCTTATTGGACAGAAAGGGAAAATTTTTAAAGAGCAAATGGAACTGCTCCATTTAAAGGAGCAGAGATCAGTTCTCAGGTTAATTATTAGACTTGGGTTCTTCAGTTCAGTAGAGCTACTTCTCACTAATGCTGTAACCTGGTGAAATAACAATCTTTCGGGAAAGAGAGAACTCTGGGAGGAATGATATTCCTGTTCAGGCAGTCAGTGGTAGTTTTATCACAGCTTGAAACTCACTCAAACTGTGAGTTGACAGCACAGCCTGACTCAGTTACAAAGCACAAAGTGAAATGTTAAGCCTTTGTGGCTGTTCACAGGCAGCACAAACCGAAGTGCCTCCAGGATGCTCCTGTTTAAGTTGCAGGGAGTTCAGGAGCAGTTATGGATGAAGGAAGGAAAAGAGCTAAAACTGCTTTTCAGCACTGAATGATGCACAGGAGCTCAGGCTGTGTTAAATGAGGGTACTAGAGGGAGAGGGGTAAGCAGAGGGAGAATTTAGAAAAGAACCAAAAAACAAAACTACCGCTATCCAACTTGCTTCCCAAAGTATGTTGTCAAAGATTACCCTGGCTGCTGAAACTAGAACATCTTATCTCCAGCTATCTCCCCTGAGGTCTGAGAAAGCTGAAAGAGAAGAATTAAAGAGTATTCATCTGCATCTTTCAGTTCATGTCAGGTTTATTTGAATTCACAGAATCTCTCAGGGGGGCCTGGCATATTTGAAAATCCAAGAAGAGCACAACACGATACCTCTTGTGCTGAGGGAGGAAGCCTCTCAAAACATAACAGTATCTTTCATGCTGGGGGATGAGGCCTCACTAAATACAAGCTCTGAAGAAAAAAAATAAAACCTGTGGTTTCCTCTTTGGCTCTCTGTGCTCCATTCAAACGCCCTTGCCCGTTGTCTCTCTCTGCTGAGGAAGATAAAATAAGCTGCCCAGTGTGACCTTTTCGTTACTTCTGCAAATTTCCTTCAATTTTAAAGGAGTGGAAAAGTACATTGCAAGATCTGAAAGAGAAATGCAGAGAGTGCTGTTTTTCCATCTCAGCAGCCACACATCAATCTAAGGACAGCATAGTGGTTAAAAACAAAATACCCTTTGCTGTCAAAAAGCTGCAGCTATAGAGGTGCTGTAACACTGTGATGCCAGTTGTAGTCAATTCTTTTTGGCCACAAGTTTTCACAAGTGGTGGTTGCTTTTGGGAGGTTTTGTTACTAAGTCTCTTAGACCTGAAGCATGGGTTGAACAAAGTGGTGTGGGTGTGAGGTTTCCACATCCTTTAGTTTCTCTTTACCTTTGTCTGAGTTCCTGGTTTAGAAGGCACAAAAAGAGGAAACCAATAAATGAATATAGTGTAGACCTTATTTAAATATAAATCACCTTATCAAAAACCTATACTTTATCTGGGGTGTGCATAAACTGGGATGTTTTCTTCCTTCCTGGTGAAAGGGTGGTTTGTTTTTGTGGTTTGCACCAGCCTATGAAGTCAGGTAAGAAATCTTGCAGCCAGGACACAAAGGGAAGAGCCCTCTGTTGCTTTGTGTTCATACATGCAAACCTGAGAATCTGGCCCTCAAGATTCACACTTCAGAGGATTTTGTAGATACATTTATTTCTGTGCGATATTCTCTCTTTTTCTAGTTTATTTATTGTCTCTATCAGCAAGTGCAGTTTCCAGAAGTTAAACTCTGATACAGGTTTGTTATCCCAGAATGAATTTGTATTGCTGGGATTTTTAACAAGGCATAGCATCTGATGAGGAGTACTTGTCATATTTGATTTTTAGTTTCTTCATGTTGTTGCTGTCTCTAGGGGCAGAGATTGGGGAGCACTGGTGCTTACTCCTGACTGGCAGGGGCTGGTTCAGCAGTAACTGCAACATAGCCCAAGCTTCTGCAGCACAGACCTCAACAGTTCTGCACTCCTGTGGACCCTCTTTGTAACTAAGGACTGTGGAAGTCAATTGCCACCTAAAAAGAGAATTTATTTGCAGATTGAGTACTCTCCAAAACTAGCTCTCAATATATTTTACAACACCTTGTGTTGCCAGTTTTGTAAACCTAAGCAGTGGAAAAACAGGAAAGCAACATAAAATGATGTAGTTTTTCTTTGATATATGTGACCCTGTCTCATGCACACTGTGTCATAGTAATTTAAATGTGCATCTTGTCCCTCATCTTTAGCAGAAGAATGGTTCTTCAGAACACAACCATAACTTTGTCCATACCAATTAAACACAATTATTCTTGAAGGCAGTTTGCAGAGTGTAGATTCCCTTTGGGTATTACAGTTATGGTGCATTTTAAGAGTACCTCATATTAGGTAAGTCAGTTCTGTGAAGGATACTGGTTACTTAACCAAAGGTATGTCTTCAGGTAGAGTTAGTTAAATTAAAATAAATGTCTCCTGGAATTTGCCTCTAGTGATGAAAAAAGTTTATTAAAATCAGTACAAGCACATTGCTAGGCAAATCCTTAATCCTTATCAAACTAGAGTGAAGTCACTAGAATAAT